AAAATTGGTTAGAATGAATGTCAATCTAATAGTCCGTCTGTCCATCTTTCCATTTTTTTAAATAACGATTATAATAAAGAAATGCATACATGTTAAATATAACAACTAACATACATTACGTTAATACATCAACGTTAGAAAAAATTTATAATTTGTTCATTTTTTTAAATGTATTGTTTTTATTTTCTAATACATATTGCACTCTTTTTTGTACAAAAAAAAAATATTTCTGTATTGTGAGAGATTTTAGTTCAAGTTGTATTTGTTTCTATTTATTGCTCTTGTATAAGAAATCATTACGTACTATAGTATTTTATTTTATTTGTATATCACGTTAAGTCGGTTTTCGTTAGTATGTTTAGTGGAGCAGTCAGTCAGCCAGTCAAAGTCATCATCAATATATTGTATGTACATGTAGTAAGTTGTATAAATTTGGATTTTTGTTGTTGATGACAGGCCATGTGTGGCAGCAGGAGGGTGTTGGGAGAAAGGAAGAAGAAATCTGATGCTTACTAACATCAAAATCACAATCAAAAAGAAGAAACATGTGAATATTTTGTTGTAGAATGTTGTTTGTTGGTCGTACGTCGGTGTGGTGCTAGGTCGTCATTTTTTTGTGTTGCTTGCTAAACACATTGACTAAAATAACAACAACAGCAAAAACAACAAGAATAGTAAGATGAAAAAAAGAAACGAACAACGGTAGCACAGCGCATAGGCCATTATCGGAAAATTTTGTAAAGCATACATATACAAACATACATAAACAAGTACTCTCATAAATACACACAAACATACATACATAGATATACGCATATGTACGTTAGTTATTCTGGAATGCCAAGGCAACATAACTCTTTCATATACCGGGAAAAGTTTTGTAATGTTAAGAGGGGGAAAACAGGTTAATGCTAATGGAATGGTTTTCAGAAAAGTAAAAAATCTTTCTTTTAATTTTGGCACTCAGCAAGATTGTATAAATATATCAAGGGATCATTAAAATTAGATGAGAAAAATACCACTGATTTTGATGTATGTATGTACAATACATTCAGATGAGGCCTCATGATTCCGATATTAACCTGACAGCTGTAAAATGTCTTCAAATTTTTGAAAATCTTTATTAAACCTTATGATTTAAAACATAATTTCTTAATTTAAAATATTCAGACTTAACATATCATTGTTGTCAGGTATCTACATAAATATTTACTAAACTCAGTTACAAATTTTACTTACAAACTATTAAAGTAGTAATTAATACATAATATGTATGTATATGCATGTATGTGTGTATATTGGTTAAATTTTAATGAAAAAATACTGAATAATAAATAAATAATATGAAAGTTCAATTTCAATGTATGATTAGTGCAATTTTTCTTTATTATTTAAAAATATTAATAACAAATTTTGAAAAAGAAAACAAAGAGACTTTCCATTACTTACTTTTACGTACTTATGTATGTTTAAATTAAAAAGAATTACGTAGTTTGGTCAAATAAATAAGTAATTTTTTACACAAAAATATGGATCAAATTTCAACTCATTTGACGCGGAAAGAATAAGATTGCGTTTCGAAATTTTTTTACGGCCTTCTTGATTAAGTCAAAGTCATACGCTACTGTCCTGTCAAATGTCTAAAATTAGATAGCCGATTAAGGCATAATATGCAGGCTAGTTTTATAATTGACCAATTCTTACGGAATCTGACAAAGTCAGTAAAATCTTTAAGAAAATCTTTAAGAACTTTTTTTTTAAATATATATATTACAATATCGATATTACTGCAAGATTTTGTTAAGCATAAACTAATTAAAGATTTTTTTCTTAAGGGTTACTTGTATAGGATCTAGACTGAAATATGCCCAAGTCTTCTCTAAATCGGTATCTACCCGCATAAAAATGCGGATTGTAAATGTGTTTTAACAACGTTAATCGATTCCACTAGGCTTAATTGAATTAATCTAGTCCATTGACTAAACAACAGAATAGAAAAGCCCATAAGTCATAGGATTGTCAATAAAGTAGATCATAAAATAATCAATACACAAATTCATAGGTTAGTCAATTTAATAAAAAATGTTGAAATTTTCAAATACAAAAATTTTTTATTTCGGTATTTTCAAGTAGTTAAATTCTGGTCAAAATTCTTTTAAAATGTTATTTTTTAAAGTTCGGATATAAAGGTATTTTAAGTACATACTATGTATTTCAAAATTTTTATTTTCCATGGGTGTTTAGCTTTAAGATATCAAAACACCCTAATTTAGGCAATAGATATGGCTAGCATATGCTCAGTAGTTCACGCATCATACTACACAGGCCAACAAAATTTGAAAAAGTCGAAATCCGGAGACCAAGTATACTTTTCTAAAGTATTTGACAGCGCTGAATCCGAATATGGCCAGTATCGTAGTTTTTTTTTTAACTTCCAGTTTCGGATTCAGCACAATTCAATCCTATAAACTTTAGTAGTTTTATCTCTATGTTAAAAATTTGTTGACCTGTGTTATCACAAAGAACAACACCCTTACAGTATTTCATTGTTTATGATTGGAAATGATAAAACATAGTTTATAACATATAACATATATAATTGTCTACATATGTAGGTACATATTTATTAATTACAATTAATACAAACACATAATTATATATGTATGCTTTATTGCAATTTTCTAGAATCTTGCAAAACCTTCCAAAATCTAATATGTTTTGGCAACTCTGTTTTATTTTTCAGTATGTAAACACATGCAAACATTGCGTTAGTGGTAAATACACATCTTCACGTACATACATATACAAAAACCCGCCGCACACCACTCTAATCAAGCGCGTAATCACTTGCAATACTTATTTATAATAAACTGAACTAAATTATACTCTTCTAAACTTATAAAGGAGACGACGGACAGGTAACCCTAGCATTTTTTTGTGTCATATCACACAAAAATGAAGACAAAACAAGAAAACGAAAAAACACCACCGTCAAAAACACACAACAATAATGAATAAAGAAATATTTTATGAAAATTTTCCATTAGCATCATCCAAACATACCGTGTTTGTGAAAGAAACAAACAAATAAGTAAATGGAAAGAGAAAGAGCCTGGCTAGCTAACAAATCAAATTAAACAATCAAAACAATTAGAAATACTTACCAACAGATGATAAATTTTGAGTGTCATTGATCTTGCCCACTGTATTGCCTTGATTTTGTACCAATTGTGTCTGCTGCTGTTGTTGCGGCAATATCAATTGTGTTTGTGTTACGGCCTGCTGTTGCAGTTGCTGCGTATTTTGATTTGGTGACTGTTGGTTTTGCATGTTTGCCTGAAAAAGTACATGTAGGAGAACTAATTAGGGATACATTCACACCTTCTTTAAAAAGACCAGAAATATTGTAGCACGTAGTATGTACGCTCAAATTTAACAAAATACACACATAATAATAATTTAATTGCAAATATCACTATATACTACATCTTTCTCCCTTTTTTATACAAACAGTATAGCAGCAATATAAAAAATATATAAAATAATTATAGCAAAAAATACAAAATAAAATAAATAATATACCAAGTTGTCTTCGTCTCCTCCACTTATTAATATGTGTGTAAGAGACAGAGAGACAGACAGACACACAAAGTCAATCTACACAAAAAAGCGATAAATACACAACACCACCAACAACAGAAAGAAAAAAAATTGATTTAATTACACAAATCGTAATCTCCACACAGCTAGCCGAACGAATAAAAGCGATGGATGTTTCTTATAAAAATAAATTTTATTGAATTTTCTTCTCGTTAGATTTTGTCAAACTTCCTTTTCAATTTGTATTATTTTTTTGTCAAATGCGTTTATAAATCGTGTTCACTTGATTTTCTTTTTGTTTACGTTGTGAAGCTTGTAAATTGACATATTAATAAATAGCTCTTATTATAGCTATATCACCTTTTTTATTTTTCTTCTCACTTCACAATGCACAGAATTAAAAATATTCCATTATCTGATTTTTTTATTGACCAACCACCAGAGCCCTGCGCCAACAAATATTAACGGCTGCGGCGGATGACACTAAAAATGTCGACGGCGGCTAAAAATCAACTGTAAGCCGGCTAAGTTTTCACAGTCTTGTCAATAACCGAGCAAAATTAAATATTGTACACAACATATCCGGGTATGTCAATTTTATAAACTATGACATATTATTTTATAAACTATGACACATTACTATTCTGGAAGCAAATATTTTAAAAATCGGGATTGTCTTCGCGATCCAAATTTTCAATAATTTTGTCAGACTTTCATAAATAACGGAGATATGAACAAAAAAAAAACGAGACTATCTCTGAAAATTTTGCAAAAAAAATTGTGTGGGAAATTATTAAAAAAAATTTAAAAATTTGATTAATTTTTAAAAATTAAAAACAAATCCTTTCAACAAGTTCATTATATATGTGCAAATGTATATCATTGAAAAGGCCTCAATCGATTGAGATTCAATTAAGTTACTGACTTATGAGAGCTTAAGGATACGAAAAAAACGTTTTTTACCCGTATATCAAGATTTTGGTGGTGTTTGGCAAATTACAAAAACAGAAAGGCCCATTAAACGGTCTTCCGTTAGCATTATTTTGCAGGTACAACCACACCCCGCTGCATTGTAAATTAATTCGATTGCGGCATATAAACAATGATGACAACCTTTTTGGAACGGTTCGGTACCGGTTTCTTAGTGTTATCGGTATTTTGACTTATTTCGGTATCGGTACTTAAGTGTTACCGGTATATATTTTAGCGGCAACGGTAGTGTACTAAAAAGATATATTATTTATTTATTCAGTAATAAAAAGCCAATTTAACAAAATATTACATAGTTAGATAGATATGAAACAATTTCATCTGAACATTATAAAAAAATCTTCTGGCATTACTGCTTTTAATACTCTAAACTGTTTCATTCCATTCGTTTCAAATTTTTGCACATTTATTTTAAGCCGCCTCCAATGTTTAATGTTTGGCGGCGCAGGCCTATGAGAGCATTATTGCAATTTTTAATTTCAAGCCCAAACATTTTCTTTTAAATTATTTAAATTTCGTTTAGAAAAATGGAAACAGTTTTACCACATACACGTATACGCACTATTATGAAGAGTTCCTTGGACACGGGAAATATTAGCAATGAAGTACTTTATCTTATGACGAAATCCACTGTAAGTAATCGACTACTAAAACATGAAACAATTTTTATAAATTTAACATCTTTGTTTTAGGAAATGTTTATTAAACACTTTAGCAAAGAATCATACAACAATGCCAAAAAACCGAATACATTAAAATATGAGCACTTGGCAGAACTAGTACAAAATGAAGATAACTTGGAATTCCTGCTACAAATAGTGCCGCAAAAGATAAAAGTAAAAGATTTTAAAGCCCTGATAGAGCAAGATGATGATTCCAGTGAGTCTTCTTCGGAAAGTGACTGAAAGTATAAGTAGAATAAAAAAGTACGCCTCATAAACAAAAACGTAGATTAAGTTATTTTGAATAAACAGCATTTGAAAAAAAACGAATCTTGTTTTATATTAGCTTTTTAGCGTTTGGAATATTCGATAGTATGTTTATATAGGATATTTATATATTTTAGTATTTTCTTTTATCTGTATGATAACATAAAATGAATTCTTGTATCATTTTGATTATTTTCTATTTTTCATTATTCTGTATACATTTGTATATTTATTAATTTGTGGTTTATTGATATGTGCCAAATTTGGAAACTGTCTTGAGATAAGCTTCGTGTAATTTCTGCACAAAATCTTCGTCGTTTTGTATTAAATAATTGAATGCCTGTACAAACTGAAACTTATTTAAAGGCTCCTGTTTGGGAGTAATTGAAGAAATTTTCAAAGGCTCCATCGATGAGGCCGCAGCTGGCTTATCGAACATTGTAGGTGGCATAAGGGCCGGCTTGTTTACCACCTCGCCACTGGCTCCTCCTCCGGACATGGCTGTATTCGACTGTGACAGACTCTGCTGTAGGTTTAGATTGGAAAATATCTTGCTTAACGAAATTTGCTCTCCCGGCATCTGGCCGGTTGTGCATGTGGCTGCAGTCAAAGCTTTTGCGAAACCAAAATCTGGTCCCCGGGATATAATGGGCTTCATATCCAAAGAACCACTACCTGGCCTGGGTACAGGTTTATTAAACATGGAATTTGACGACTCCAGAGTGGCACTTTCCAGTAATGAACAAGACAAACGATTTGTCAAATTTTCCGTCTGATTGTGGTACAAAGAGTTGTTGCCTTCATCAATAGCGGCTCCCCCAACACTACCTATGGACTGTAGGGAGTTGGGAGCTATATCACGCTGCTGTTTCTCTAACTGTTCCACCGACAAGGTATTAGGTAATATACGAGGAGTATAACTTGATACTTCTGCTGTTGGCTTGGCCGATTCGAAAAATTTCAAAACATTTCCCGAAGCAATATTCTGTGTAGGTGTGTGTTGTGCCAACTGGACACTGCCAACATTATTTGGAGTTGTGGAATTTTTATGGTTCTGCTGCTGGTTGCTGTTGTTGAATTCTTGCTGAGCATTCGATAACATTTTAAATATATTCACATTGTTGTTTTCTTTAGCATCGTTGACTTGTGTGGAGTTGTCCGCAGTTATGATACTTTCGCCCGAGCCCCCAGCTGTCTGTACAAGTTCACTAACCAACTTACTTATGCGATCACACTCCAAACTGTTATAGAACCAAAAACCTCTGATACGTGACCGCTCATTGCGATAGAGCAAGAACGGTGCCTGCGCCTGCAATTCCAAGTGGCTGGTGATGGGCTCGACGAACGATGTCGTGTTAAGGCGATTGTTTATGAAAATACTGTGAAATGGTTGAGCATTGCGGCTGTATATGAAAAAGGCTCCCTCGACATCAGTTTTCTCCCATTCGTTTTGATCTGAATTGAAAATGTAGAATGCCACATGTGATGATGTATCCACTATGTCCTTGGCATAGGGATCAACCTTTTTTATGGCCGCTAAATTCATACGTGTTTTACTTGTATCTGCCATTATTTCGATGTTCTGCACAAAAAGTCAACAATTAATAAATACTTTTCTTTTAACGAGGGAGTTTATTGTTATTACAAAAAGAAAATCTCTTCAGATAACTATGAAAATAAGTTGAAATCTTTTTTCTGGTTTAATTCTATTCGAAAATAGCAACGTAGCGAGATAATAAAACACTGATAGTAAACTGAATTAAAACAATAGGGTGATTATGATGATAACGATAATCACAGGTTTTGGGTTTAGAAAATGTTAAAGAATTGAAAAAATTATACTATACAGAAATATTCTTATATATTAATAAGTTTTGCCTTAGATTATTAATTGCCTGCATATTATGTCAAAAAAATTTGTGGTAGAACAAATTTTTCTCAAAAAACATTATAAAATAATTATTTTTGTGTCATTCTGTTAAATTGTGAGATAATTTTAACACAACGTTGACATCAGCCTGCTGTGTTTACAGTTTGTATTTCATTCCATTCTGTGACAGTTCAACTATTTTATTGTTTACTTTTTATTTATACAGATTTCATAAAAAATATCCACAGAATTTCATGAGGCATTGAATTATTTTGTTTCTTTTTTATTTCAATTTTAATTTAAAATAAAAATGGATCGCAATAAGCCATCCTCCTCTTCACAAAGGGCACCAAAGAAAGTATCATCACATGCGGGCAGTGAATTTTTCGCTTTAGGTTCCAAGGGCTACAGAGATGATTCCAAAGCAAAAATTGTGCCCATTAGCAAGACGTCTAGTGGTTCGTCAGTAGATCGAAAAAGAGAAACTTCGGGGGCCAGCACATCAATGATGGCGGCTAAGAAGGCAAAGTTGTCGACTACTAGCAGAATACCTGGTGAAGCTGCCAACTCAGCACCTTCCAGTGAACTATGGGAACAGATGGCTACCGATTGCGACTCGCTTGATATTGTAGAAACAGTAACGGCGGCGGCTGAACAACACGATACCGAGACTTTAGTGAGAGTCATTTGTGGTTGCATTAAAAATCTTATATCCTCATATGCCAAATCCAAGCCAGATACGGTGGCCATGTTGGGTATTTTATATTTGGCCAAATTACATCCAGATTATTTTTCCAATGATATTATTACATCTGGCTTGTTACATATCCTGCGTCGAGACTTTAATGCTAAAATGAGACAGACACCTTACTCACACATTTTGGCTTGTAACCTTTTGGCCCGTGCCTACAGCGATAAGCAGCAATGGCCAGAAATTTTCATGCGAATCTACATAGAAGATGCAATTAACGATCGTTTTTGGTCTGACAATAGTTTGTGTGCACCGTTTATAGAAAATATAGCAGCTGCTTTTAAAACACGAACACCACAACTGAATTATTTACAGCACGAATCTGGGGCAGGGCCATCAAGTGGTGCCGGTACTCCAACAACCACCACTCCCACCCAATCCACACAACAACCCGCAGTGCCCATAAACATTGATGATGACTCGTGCGATAACTCGGAGGCCAGCGGTTCAGCGAAACCCTGTGATTTTAAACAGGGCTGTGAGTCGTATTGTGAGGTAAAAGATCGTTACATGGACTCCGAGCGTATCGTGGAGAAATATGTAACAGATGCTATTAAAGAACAGCTCAATAAACGTCAACAACAGGAATGCTACACCCGTAACTTTTTAAAATTCCTCTGCAAAACGTCAGGCCTGGTAGAAGTGCGTCATATGTGCATATCACGTTTGGAACTATGGATACATAATGGCAAATTGGTAAAATTTGCCCAGGAACTATTATCGTATGTATGCTTCAATGTGAGAGCGAAATATGTTAAAGACCATGAAGTTTTGGCGATATTGGTGAAAATGAGACTGAAAGCTAAGCCACTTATAAATTTCTATATGTCGTGCATTAAGGAGATGATACGTTTAGAGCCGGGAATTCTAAATGTGATTTTAAAATTGGTGGTACAAAATGAATTATCGAATACGAGAAATCCAAATAATATGGGAATGTTGGGTAAGAGGTTTTAGATTCCTAGCAGGGCTTCATTTATAAAATATTTCTTTTCTATTTTCAGCTACCATGTTTCAGGCGGCACCCGATGATTCAGCTAAACATTTGGCGGAAATATATAAAGAGTTTCTCTTGCAACGTGATGACTGCTTACGCACGCTACGAGTCTTTCTGCGAGAATTAGTGCGCATGCTACGCAACGACATCAACTTGGTGGTGTTTTGTAAAGTTTTTCTTAATGGTCGTCCCGAACTGAACAAACAAATAGAAAGTTCCGAATTTCGAGATCGTATATTTCATTCCATGGTTGATATAACATGTTTAAGCATGTTGCTGTCCGTATCGCCACAAGTGAGAGAGGCCAGCATATCGTTGAGAGTAACGAAAGACAATACAGCCAACAATGCTGTTCTCTTAAAATTCTATAACCAAATGTGTCAAATACAATTGGATTGTGTCTCATGGATGTATGAAATTGTACCCACTCTATTTAAACTGCAGGCAGGGGAGTTTTTCCAAGGTTTACACAAGATACTGCTATTGGAAAATGCTGAACAGTATTCACGTTATGATCAGTGGCCCTCCGAGCCGGAAAGAACTACGTTGTTACGTTTAGTATCGGAAACTCCCATACACGAGGACACCCTATTGCGCATTATCCTAATAGGAATAACGAAGGAAATCCCCTTCACCATACCCGATACCTTCGATATTATTATATCGTTAATTAAAAGGGCCTCAACTATGCGCATTACCAACTGTCCAGTAGTTCAGGCGAATAAGTTTGATATTATAGATTTTCTCTTTAGCATGGCCGAATATCATCATCCGGAAAATATTAATTTACCCGTTGACTACGAACCACCGAAATTGGCAATTACGGTATTGTATTGGAAGGCTTGGTTGATAATGTTAATGATTTCAGCTCACAATCCATCGACCTTTGGGGCATTCTGTTGGAATCATTATCCCACCATGAAAATGCTAATGGAAATGTGCATAACAAATCAATTTAATGAGACCGCTATGAGTAAAGAGGAATTGCAGGTGAGTTTTTGAGTTCTTTATTTAAATATTTTACTTTATTTTCACTAATCATTCAACATTTTCCAGATTGTACCCTTAGAACGTGATCATATTGTTGAATTTGAATCGTATTTAGCCGCTCAAACTTCTCAAGCTGTAATTACGGAAGAAAATGCCATTCTAACTTCACAGCTAATGCTAATGGATCCCATGGGTGTGGCCAGGCGAGTACCGAGTGGGGTTCTAGAGCAGCTGCGCACTTTAAACAAATCTTTGAAAATTGGTCATTTACTGTGTCGTAGCCGTAAACCAGATTTATTGTTGGACATTATCCAAAGGCAAGGCACCACACAATCTATGCCATGGCTTTCGGATCTGGTGCAAAACAGTGACGGTGATTTTAATCATTTGCCTGTACAGTGTCTCTGTGAGTTTTTGCTCTTCAATGCCAACATTATCAACGAGGAAAATAGTCGTGATGCTGAGTTGGTTAACTTTTTGCGCAACGTTATAATGGATCCTACATATAGTAAGCAGACTGTATGCGAGATATTGGACTATATATTTAGACGTTTGTGTTCAACTGTTAAACAGACTCGTTTATCTGCTTTAAGGGGTCTTAAAATCATTTTCAAATGTTCTGAACTAAGTCCCAATGAGTGGCTCTTAAGTGCCATTCCCCAGATACCGCATTTTAATGATGTGCGTATTTTCATTATACCCCAACTGAGATCGGCTTGTCAAGTGGAGAACTCGCCGGATTTGGTAATGGCTTATATACAATTTATAGCGGCAAACACATTAGATGATTCGGTAACTGATATGTTGGATCATGTTATAGATATGGCTCAATTGATTGTTGAACGCAGCACTATGTTTCAACATATTATTCCCTTGCCAGAGGGTTCAGTGACAACCATGGCAAATGATGAGCTGGCCAAGTTGGATGAAGAGAATCGTTTGCAAACTTTAAAGTGTTTATTTGTCATGTTCAACAATTACATTATAAAACTGGGCGATCATCATGAGACTTATCAATGGACTGAGTATCCAGATTTGTTGATGGTGCAATTTAATGATGGCATCCAGTTGCCATTGCATCTAAATATAATTCATGCTTTTATTATACTGCTCACGCATTCAAGCAATCAAATGCCTGAATCCATACCAATTTTGGATTATTGGTTTCCATTGGGTGGTAATGTGCCCATAGCCTATATACCCAATATGCCACATGAACCTGTACAATTGCTGCCGGACTGGCTGAAATTGAAAATGATACGTTCTTCGGTGGATAGGCTAATCGAGGCGGCCATAAGAGAATTGACTCCTGATCAAATAGTGTTGTTTGTGCAAAACTTTGGCACACCCATCAATTCCATGTCCAAGTTGTTGGCTTTATTGGATCATGCTGTTATCGAACAATTCGATACGGTTAAAAATGCCATTTTGAATAAGGCCTACTTGGCCCAGTTGATAGAAATCCAACAAATAAGAGGAGCCAAAAATGGCCACTTTACTGTTCAGGCCTTGGGTTTGTATTCGCATTCTCAGACAGTAGCTGATAATCCTAAGATAAGGAATGATATTTTAGAATGCATACAACTGGAAGAGTTAACACCTTGTCCTCTAAGTCAAACCAAATCCCTAGCCTCTGCTACAAACGCTAAAGAAGCGGAAGATTTGATTTACAAAGTTTTAAAATGTCCCAATAGCAATCAGTTTAATGAACAGGATTTTAGAATTTTACTTCATCAACTTTTAAATAAGGAAGCCTCTCACTTGCACCATTGTTTTCTGAAAACTTTAAATCATGGCAATATGGAAAACTTGCTGATAAATGTACTGGAGCCAAAGCAGATTGTTTTATTAACCAGATCCATAATGAAACTAAATCCCCAGGCCATTAATGAAAATTCAAAATTCTTTAAATATTGTCTGCTTAATAAACACAAAGACAGTGGTAGTGCCAAGCCAATATTGTATACTAATTGTTTGCAGAATTTGTCTGCTAGTGGTCAACAGCAATTGGCCAAACCCAGGCTACAAAATAAGCCTTCCCGTCTTACATTGCAGCAAATGTTAATGCAGTTCAGAAATCGCATGAAGTCCTCTTTAATCAACACACACACTTTATACAGTGACGGCATGTTGGTGGACTTGTTGTCAGACAACGATCCTGAATTGTGTTGTGTCTACAACAAACAAGATTTACCATTTTTATTCTCAAAATCTTCGGGAGATTTTCGTTTTTATTTGTTATCGTGGATTTGTCATGAAACCAACTGGGATACTATTATATCTACGCTAGAGTATTTATTGCAGTGCAAAGATCAAGATCTGGACTATTCCGCCGTTTTAAATTTTGTCCAGGCTCTCATTAATAATCCGAAATTGTGGCAGGGTCGCGATCGTTGTGTTTTGAAAGCAGATCCCACGGAAAACTTGTTTTCACTCACCGACAAAGAATTGAAAATTTTTACAGAGTTCATCTTAAGAGAAGGAGAATCCGAACTGAAGACATCAGCCTCACAATATGCGTTCGTGTTGTGCTGCCGGATTAATCTTTTGTTCCGTGTGTGCAGAAAGAATACCAACAATTTGATCAAGTTTATTGAGTATGTATTTGAATGTGATTGTTCGCAAAAGTTGCGTTTAAAGGTTTTAAGGCAAATGTATTTAATGTATCCCTCCATAAAGTTCATACGCAGCCATCAATTGGAATCATATACAGATAAATTACAAAATCTAAATGGCTGCCAAGCCGATAAAGTTTCCAACAATTTAATCACTTGTTTGGGTAATTTATTCACCAAAAAAGATTTTGAAACTTTTTCGAGCGATACTGAACTTTTGATACGTAAAATGGCCGCCTCCCATCCAGCTCTATTTCTTAGACAAATGGGGGTTTTATCTTCCCTAATACAGGGACGTGGTCAATTAAGTTTGCGCGTCATAAGAGATGAGTACCACATGCATCGTTTTATACAGATATTAAGAACTTTGGAGTTATTGCAACCGCTTTGTTTCGATGATATTTATAAAGAAGAATTCCAATCGGCTTTGGAATGCTATTTTACATTTTTCAAACAATACAGTAATGTCAAGGAATCATATCACATTTTAATCAAACTCATCGAATTACTGCAAGCCTACATTAACTCAAATCCTTCGACGGCCCTGGTATTTATAGAGCAATATGTGGAGGTGCTCATGGATCTGGCGAATCGTTATAGTTCCTTGCAATCGTTACATCAATTAGTACAAGGCATAACATTGCTGCAGCAGAAGTCCTCAAGTTCCTCGTTGAATAATGTGGAAATGAAACAAGATTTTGACTTTGAAGACACCTCCTCCACCTCTCAAGAGAATCGTAATGCCCAACTGCAAACACCCATGGAGACGGACTCTTCGGACTCCATGTCCAGCTATCAACTATCCAATTTGGACATTAACAGTCGTGGTGCGGTTACATTCGCCATATCAGGCACCTTGAATAAATCATCGTCCATATCACCCCACTTTGCAAATCTCATTAAGATTGTTAAACATTCTAGTGCGGAAGACACTATATTGGGACCCCTGCAGGAAATTGAAAGTTTTACTTCGAAACGTTTTAATTTTCTAAGTGAACTATTTGATCGTCTCTTAGAGTTGATATTTTCGCCAAGTGCTCAAATCAGATCGAACGCTTTTATTTTGCTAATACGTCATCTGAAACATAATCCCGGCAGATCGGATGTTAATCGTTGTGCTCTCAACGCCTACATACAATGTCTCAGAGATGACAATCCTTCGGTGGCGGCCACAGCTATTGATAATTTGTCTGAGATGACTTTGTTGCTGCAGGAGCATGCGATCGAGATATTGGCCGTATCTTTTGCATTGGGTATTAAATCACGTTTAAATACAAATTCACAAATAAAGCGAGTACTACAGACGATAATGCTGCAGCATGGCTATTAGGACCATGATGAGATGTAAGCAGAATAAGTGAATTTTATCTACTAAATGTAATGAATACGTTTTATTTTTATTGTATTGTATTATTGTATAAGCTTAACAAGCATTAAAGTATAATTATTTTATAGAGATATAAATAAAAATTGATTTCAAAAAATGCGTGTGATGTTTTGTGTCAAAACGTGGTCAGATCGAGCTTTAAATTGGTGGGGAAGTCTTTCAATTTAACAAGACATTGAGGCTATAACAATTTTATCTTTTCGTTCTAATGACTTTTCCTAAATGTTTTTTAACTTTTCTTGAGTTAACAAAATACACGATTAAATTTATTTTATACATTATTTATTTGCTCCATTTTTATCAGTTTTACTACACGATGAAGAAGATGAGGTTGTATTAGAACTACTGCCGCTGGTGGGAGTTGGATTTTGGGCTGGTTCTCCCATATCCAAATGCTTCAATAGACGATATAAAGCTACGGCCTCTTTAATTCTATTGAAAACCACACAAAATGTTTCAATTTCAATAAATAATTCCTAGAAATTAAAACAGAAATATATAACATGGGAAAATTTTTCATATAAATAATAACATTACCTTTACGTTAATTATTTTATTTCTAATAAGAGATTGCAGGAAAACGCATACCAGACGTACCAGACGAGATTGCATGTATTTGTCCTTGACATTTTCACAAGATGAAATGCAATTGCTTATGTATAAATGAATGAATTCCGTGGGTAAGTTAACAGAAGTGGTCAATCTTAAATTAAAATAGGAAAAAAAAAACTAAATATTAAAAACATTGGATTATTTAGGATCATATATGTACCTGTTAACAACTTCCATTGAGTGCAAAGTTATATCCATATTAACCAAAACATGAAAATATTCGGTAATTTCGGGAGAATCCATTAGTTTAACCAAAATTTCAAAAGATATCATGGGATTATTTTCTACCAAACGTGGTAACTAAAATAATAGCAAACATTAGTAACACCTTAATATGATTGTACTCCTTTGTCTTTGTTTTACCTTATCGGGCGTTAGACGTATTTGGTAGACAAAGAAAGGATTTTTGACCAGCTCATTCAACAGCAACTTTTGATCTTGCAGATTTAGGGGTTGTGTAAAGGCCAACTCCATTAATTCCCTGGTATTGGTACTTATGCGATTACTTTTGTCATATTCCACTTTAACATTAAACGATTCCGTCCAGTCGAACCAAATTAGTTCGGACTCAAAATCCATCAATGGTGGAGCAATTGAAAAGAATTCTGGAGCAGGGTAATTATTAGTTGCCATAATTTAACTTTAATATTTCTTTATTTTCAGTAAAATAACATAATTAATTGACAAAATCTCTAAAAAATCAAACTTAATTAATGTTTATCAACAGCTGTCCAACAACACAAAACCAGATGTTTTGCATCGAATAGAAAACATGGTTGCCAGATCATACGTGTTTAATTCGAACATTTATCACTGACAGAAAAATTTGTAAAGACGACTATTGTGAAAATGGACTTTCATGTTTTCACTCAAAAATTTAATTTTCATAAGATATAAAAGTGATCACAGATTTTAATTCTTTTGGTCCTAGCCCTTCTAGATTCGCCAGAAATTGGACTTTGTCTTCACTTAAAAATCGATTTTTCATGAGAAATAAAAGTGATCACGGATTTTAATCTTTTTGGTCCTAGCGCAAGAAAATGGACTTTTATGTTTTCACTCAAAAATCGATTTTTCTAGGGAAATAAAAGTGATCACAGATTTTAATCTTTTTGGTCCTAGCGCTTCTAGTTTAGCCAGAAAATGGACTTTTATGTTTTCACTCAAAAATTGATTTTTCATGAGGAATAAAAGTGATCATATATTTTAATTCTTTTAGTCCTAGCCCTTGTAGACTCGCCAGAAATTGGACTTTTACGTCTTCACTCAAAAATCGATTTTTCATGAGAAATATCACAGATTTTAATCCTTTTGGTCCTAGCGCTTCTAGTTTAGCCAGAAAATGGACTTTTATGTTTTCACTCAAAAATCGATTTTTCTGGGGAAATAAAAGTGATCACAGATTTTAATTCTTTTGGTCCTAGCCCTTCTAGATTCGCCAGAAAATTAACTTTTATGTCTTCACTCAAAAATCGATTTTTCATGAGAAATATCACAAATTTTAATCCTTTTGGTCCTAGCGCTTCTAGTTTAGCCAGAAAATGAACTTTTATGTCTTCACTCAAAAATTGATTTTTCATGAGGAATAAAAGTGATCACAGATTTTAATTCTTTTAGTCCTAGCGCATCTAGTTTAGCCAGAAAATGGACTTTTATGTTTGCACTCAAAAATCGATTTTTCTAGGGAAATAAAAGTGATCACAGATTTTAATCCTTTTGGTCCTAGCGCTTCTAGTTTCACCAGAAAATGAACTTTTATGTTTTCACTCAAAAATCAATTTTTTTAGGGAAATAAAAGTGATCACAGATTTTAATCGTTTTGGTCCTAGCGCTTCTAAAAATGTTTTCATTCAAAAATATATTTCGCTTTTAGTTTTGCCAGAAAATGGACTTTTATGTTTTTAATCACTAAAATAATTACAATTAAAATGAAAAACCCTAAATAAGAACTCAATTTTTGTTTTTATTTTACTAAATTGGTTTTTTAATTTTTTTTATTATTTACTATAACATTTTGTTTTATTATCTTTATACATAAAATTAAGTTAAAATAGTTTTAATTGCATTTTTGTTTTCATTTATTATTTCATTTTAATACCTAAAATTACTACTTGAATATTAATTGATTCAAAAAGTTGCCTAAGTTTCAAATATTACAAAATTGTTGTTATCATCTTTTTGTTTTTTGTTTTGTTTGTTGTTGTTTTATATCATTTAAATTTTTGTTTGTTTTGTTTGTTTGTTGGGGTGGTGTTTTTTTTTTTTTTGGTTTTGTTTATTTAATTTTTTATTTGTTGGTTGTTTTTTACTGCTTAAGAGTAAATAGTTATCACTTCACGCCCACCGCCTCGAACCATAAGCACCTTTTCCAGTCCTTCTGTAAGAACTTCCAAAAATTCCATGTCTGCAAAATTGTTAAAAGAGAGTTGAGAGTTAAAAAGAAATGTTGGGCATTAGAGGGAGGTTTTTGATTTTAACTTACAATTGCTTTCTCGTGCTGGATTAATATCCTTGGGTGGACCAGGTAAATTCATTATAACCAATTGGGCATCTTGTGATTTATTTACAATAACTTCATTAAGTTTAACAGCCGTGTGCATACGACGCACATTCATTTCATTGCTAAAGAGGAAAGAGATCATTTTCATAAGAATTTCATTTAAAATTTCCGAGGATTTTAGAGATACTCGATACTTACGGTTTCTTTTCTACATATTCATCATTACTGCCATCGCCATCTTCATCGTCATCATCTTTGTTCTTTTCTCTATTGTCATCATTGGCCTCGTAGGCTTTACTGATGTTATTTTCATCATCTTTGGACTCCTACAAACATTTATTAGCCCAGATTCAGATCAATAAAAGTGTGAGTGAGAGTGAGAGACAGATTTTGTTTATATATAAAAAAAAGAAAAGAATAGTGAATGGTTTAGGAAGGTTAGTTAGTAAGTTATGTAAGGAAATTTTGTTTTGTTAATTTTTGAGTAGAACTGACATTTTCGTGTTTTTCTTCTACTGTGGGATCTGCAAATCGGACTTTGGATGATGTTTTCATACTTTCATGATGATGATCAATTATTGTTTGTACCTATAAAATTAAACAAAAATCATAATAATAAACTTGTTTCAAATAAAATTTATTCTTTTCTTTAAATTAAATTATTAAAAATAATAATAGTAATAAATTTTGAAAACCAAACAATTTCTTTTCTGTTTTTTTTTTGGAAATAATAAACTCTATCCATCACCAAATAATTAAGCTATATAATGAAAATAATTTTGAAAATATACATTTAAATAATTGTTTAATTTCATTATACAATTAATGAAATATGAAATAAAAACTCTTGCAAAATAAGTTTAAAATTAAAACTTAAATATATTTACAAATTAAAATAAAACTTAAGTAAATTATAGTAATTGGGGATATACTAGTTCTACTAAAAGGCAATTTTTGATTCGCTTTCAAATTGACTATAACTATTTTGGCCGAACTTAAATAATCAAAATAATAATTAAAAGTTTTCTATTACACTAATTGCAAAATTAAACATGTACTTTCATGCTTTGTTTTGATAATTAATTTAAGTGCCTAATATATAAATTTAATACAGGATGTGATAATTTCAATATTAATATTGAATTCTTACCATTTTAAGTTTAAATTATTGTCCTATAGTCATTTAGGCCAATTGAGTATTATTTCTCGGTCTCTCGTTTTGTTAAAGATCTTTTTGGTGATCTTTACTCTGATAATATGTAATTTTAATGGTAAATAACAAAATAATTTTCTTGAACAATGAGTTTATTGCATCAAATACCAGCTTTCAAAGTGTAAAAAGTTATAACTTTATTTGTCTGGAATTGACAAAAAACAAGAATCCAAACTATGTAAATAACACAGGCCAACAAAATTTGGTTGAAACCCAGAGGCCAAAGAGGACTGAGTAGCTTTGAATCCGAATCTGGCCTCAGTATATCTCCATTATATCATGTCATACCAGATATCATGTCATTAAGATTAAAAAACCCCCGATTTTGTGACGTTTAACAGCGCGAAGCCAACTTTATTTAAAAAATTTGTTATATCGTCTGAAAGTCTAATCTGTCGACTTTAAAATAAGGTTTTAACAGAGATTAAACCTTTACTTTAAAGTCGACACATTGGACTTGTAGATAACACAACAAATTTTATAAATAAAGATGTCGTCGCCCAGTTATATCGTCTCAACACTGAACTAAAGGTTTTTTCGGATTCAGGGCAACTCAGTCCTTTGGAAAAGTCTCTGGTTTAAAAAATTGTTGGCCTGTGTACTGTTATTTAAACCCTGAAGGGAAATAAACATTATTTTGAGTAAGATTATTTCAGAATAACTAATATTTTTATTTAAAAACTATTCTTTAAGAACATTTTCATTTGCATTCAGATTTTAGAACAGTCCCACCGTAATATTTGTTTCACGGACCCCTTGAGAATTGTATCTATAACAATCGGAGAAACTTAACTTTCTAGGAGTAATCAATAACACTTCGTCATATCACTAATACATTGTGAATTGAACAAATATGTGTTTAAAACAATAAACTGTTTAATTGAAGCGCCTTCGTATAAATTCGGCATGTCAGCACATTCAATGTCATACATGTTTGAAAAAAGAAGCAAGACTCTTCAAATAATCGGATCTTTAGAACAAATACTTAAACAAAAATAAGTCTAGCATTCAACAAACTATTAAATGGAATGACTACTAACTGGACGAACGCAAAAATTCGACGTTTTTTAAGTAAATGTTTCTACAAAAACTGGTAAAAATATTTTTTATCGAAACTTGTTCGTACGCTTTTCTATCAAAAAGTTATTAAGGTAATTTGTTTAATAAAAAACTCGAATCGAAATAATATTTGCAAATAATTTTTTTAATTCAAAATTGAACATCTAACTAACAAACATTTAAGTAACAAAGAAAATCGATAAAAATATTAATCGAAATCAGATTTCGTTGATTTTTTCTTGCAACTATAAAAACATATCAAAATTATCACACCCTGTACTCCTTACAGTGGTACGAAACAACTAAAACTAAAGAAAAAATCACTTCATTTACAACAAAGTTACAGAACATACCCAAAGAGATGAGAAATGAAATACCATAGAAGTGAATGTGTTAAATGAGCGATAAACATTTAAGGCGAAAGATGCGAAAAATCCTTAAATGATGAATTAACAACAAATGACTTTCAATTAATAAAAAACCCAGCAACTTGAAAATGATTAAAGACGTCATATGAAAGTTAACAACAACGAGTGAAGAGTATGATGACAAAATGATTTCGAATCAATGAAAAGTTTATTTAAAACAATAAAAGTAAATGTAAAATTGATTAAACAAGATGAGACAGCGAGAAAGAGAGATCCTTAACACACACAGTGTGTGTGTGTGTTTAAATGAGATAAAGAGGATGAATGAAATGCTAAACAAATGTACGAAAGGTCAACTTCCATCATTGTAAATGTTGAATGATTTTGAACACGTTTTATAAAACATAAACATTTAATAACAATAGAACGAACAAGAACAATAAAAATATTTACGATATAGATAAATGTAGTAGATAGAGAAAATATATAGAATAGAAAAGAATTATGTTTAGTTTTGTTGTTATTTTTACCAAAGGCATTTTGTCCTCCCCAGTTGTTGATTTCTTGTCCACTAAATTCTGTTATTTTTTTTTTTTGCAAATAGT